GCACTGCTTGATCTTTAACAACTGGCACGGTGGTATACATATATAATGTTAGCAGTTGGGAAGCTAAGACACTAGGATTGCTTTGAGTTCAAGGTCAGCCTGGGCGACATAGTATCTATCAAGCCAGTAGGGGATACAGACCAAATTCTTTCCCCCCCCCCAAAAAAAAACATAAATTATCAAAAATCTGTGCTTCAATGTGTAGATAAATGAAAATCTCCCACGACTACTAAAAAAATCTAGATTTCTTATAAGTATATGTGAAAACTATAAACAAAAGCAACAATACATTACTCACACAAGTTAAAAGCAAGTTTACCATGCACTGATATTTTCCCTACATCTTTCATTTTTTGTAATGTTTTCTGAAATTTTCAGAATATAAATGTCTTTAAGCAGGAGTCTCTAATGCATCTGGAAGAAAGAAAGAAAACACCAGGGCAGTGGCCTTTGCTAAAATGACAAAAGACTATCCATCGGTTCCTGTTCCCATTAAAGCTGGTGAGAGTCCACATTCTTCACTACACAATGGAGCTTTCACCAATGCTGGAAAATATTTTTGTGAGAAGATTTGCAGAGAATGAATGGAATTCTTAATGTTGCAAGCGCCCATTGAATTATTTAAAAGGACAATGACTGAATGACTAATTAGAAATGTTTCAGTGATATTTATATTACAAAAGAAAAGATTTAAGTCTAGCATTTTCTCTTGAGTAGTCAGAAAAAAATAGACTAGGTTTGTTAACCGTGGGCATCAATTCTGGAACGATCTGCCCTCCAAGCTCTGAGAGCTGCCTCCCGTTTGGCCAGCTAATGCTTTTTCCATCCTACTTGGCTTCTAAATGTTACTGTCTGAATGGCTGCTTATATGTACTTCAATTTACCTGGCCCCAGAACAGGACTTAAGATGACGCCAAAGAACTGTATAGCATGGTAAATGATAAGAAAATAAGGAAGACTAGAACAAGACAAAGAAGTGTCCTCTACTCTGAGTAAAATTAACACTTCAGCCTTCTGCCAGCAAAGCCTTTCTATCTCAGGAAGCACACGTTAACCGTCCAATATCATCACGTCAAAGCCATCTGTTGGGGTTAGAGAGGTGACTCAGCAGTTAAGAGCACTGACTATTCTTCTGGAGGACCAGGGTTCAATTCCCAGCACACACATGGCAGCTCACAATGGTCTATATTTCAGGTTCCAGGGGATCCAACATGCTCACATAGACATACATGCAAGCAAAACACCAATGTATATGGAGTAAGAATTAAATATATATATATATATATATACAAAAAGCAAAAAATAAGAAGCCTGTTCTTTAAAAATAAAAAAAAAATGTTAAAAGAAAACAGCTATGATACTGAAATTAAAAAAAAAATAAATCATTGGAACAGGACTATAGCTCTGTTAGTAGAGAATTTGACTAGCACACACAAAGCCCTAGATTCAATCTACATACCCCAGGCACAGTGGTGCATATAAAGTCAGGATAAGTTGTTCAAGGTCATTCTCAACTACATAGTAAGTATGAGGCCAGTCTGGACCACGTGAGACTTTGTCTTAAAACAAAAACATAGAAAAAAATAAAAAATAAAAATAAAAACTTTTATAGTCTGCTTTTTAGGTTATTTAAGATTTACTTTTAAATATATAAATAAACTTTCTATAAATCATAAACTTACAAAGTCTTAAAAAGAAGACAAAACATTTGAAAACAACTTTGCCACATCACTTCCACAGAAACACGGTCTAACATGTGCAAGTAGGCAATTTGCTGATGTCTGGCTTAGTCTAGAATGTATTTCTCACGAGTGGAAGAGATTCTCTCATAACAAATGAAAAGGAAAGGGAAAGAAAATGAGAAAAGCAATTGATAAATGCACCCAACAAAGATATAGTTAAAATATTCTCTCCACAAAAGACTAGCACATCCTTGGGTAGGCTGTTCGCATTCTTACGATCTTGTTGCTTATAAATGATGGCCCACTAGAAAATTAGGTAATTAAATATAACCACATGCACAGTGATTATGGCGGTCACAGGACAACTTGCAGGAATCAGTTCTCCCCCACCATGTAAGCTAAGTGGCTCCAATTCAGGCTTGGTGGCAAGTGCCTTTACCTACAGGGCCATCTTACTGATCTCAATCATCTACCATATTTTCATACTGATACCTTATCTAGTAACCTTACTGAACTCTACAGTGAGCTTTAAACATTTTTTGTCTTTAAGTTTCTATATATCACTTGCTTCTCTTTGTTAAAGTAAAGAAAGAATATTCCATTAGCCTCTGTTAAGAATAACTCCTTTGAATTCTCAAAATTCAATATAGTGTTATCTGGACATCACTAACCCTTACAGCTTTCTCATTTATAGGCTTCTTTTGTTTGTTTGTTTGGTTGGTTTTTGTTTTCATTTTTGTTTTGTTTTGTTTTTTTGGAGACAGTGTTTCTCTGTAGCTTTGGAGCCTGTCCGGGAACTAGCTCTTGTAGACCAAGCTGGCCTTGAACTCACAGAGATCCGCTCACTAGTAGGCTTAACACTAATCTTCAGCCCCCTTGCCCTGTTCTTCCACTATTGGATCACACAGCATCAGACACTGCTCGGCACGCACACCAATCCCATCCCACTTTATTTTACTCTAACAGAAATTAGGAAACACACCATCAGACGCTGCCCAGCTCTCTCTCGCCAGTGTCCGTGTTTTCTTGGTCCTTCAATACATCTGAGTGTAAGGGTCAAGCACACATTAATTCAGCTTCCTCGCTACATTCCATGCTCAGAATAGTACCCAAGGAAGTAAGAAACTATGAGCCCCTGGAATCCATCCTAAACACCCTGCATTGATCTGCCACCTCATCACATACTGCTTCATAAAGTCCCCTCTCCTTCCCTTAACCACTACTTAAAACTTGCACCAACTTCCTACAATTATTGTTTCACTTTCTTTGTTCCCTTATTATATGAATCTCCTTCTACCAATAGTCCTAGGCTTGCAATTTAAACTCAGATAAAACTGGACTTCAGGCTGGGGGAATGGCTTAGGCAGGAAGGCCCTTGGTCGTGGCCTGATTCAATTCCCAGAGCCCATGTAAAAGTGAGGGGAGAAAAGCGACTCCACAAAGCTGTCCTTTGACCTTCACACATGTGGCGTGCCACAAGCAGTCAGTCCCACACCCTGATAGACACACACATGCCCCACATACAGAAGATAACAATAAATAAACTTAGAGATAAAAACTAAACTACTTGAGAGCCCCTAAACATGTCTTGATTTCTTTGCACATATTCTTTCTCTGCCTGGAATGCCCTCCTCCTCTTTGCTTAACCAGAATGCCTTTTGCGTACCTTCAAACCTGAGCTCAGTGCTATACAGCTCCTGTGAAAACATCCTCACTCCGTAAGCTGCTCCTATGTGCCCTCAGCACACCGCACCCACCTCTCGGTACAGACATTACTATGTCCCGTCGCACCCGCTCAACCATTTGTTCCTGAATAAGACCGCTTCTCAGAAGATCAAGAATTTCATTTCCATTTACTATCCCAGGCACCTGCTTTGTTCTTGAAGTTCCCACTAAAGTACAATTCCTTGAGCCTGACATTATACAAAAGAAATAAATTTAGAGGATATAAATTTATCAAAACCTTAGTTAAGATGAATGTGGCTATTTGACCAGTAAAATCAATAGCAAATTTTATATTCATAACTCCGATAAAATTGTTTTATGTAAGATATTTTCCAAGTAAATAATAGAAAGCTTTTACTGAAAAATAAACAGCTCTTTGCTTAAGACAACTGAATGGATAGCACTAGATGAACTTAGGCTATACTAGACGGTACTAATGGCAGCGCGGCTAATGCTTTTCTCCTTTAACAGATAATGAATGGTGAGAATCCTCTGAAAACACGGCCATCACAGAATACTAATCTTAAATACTGTAAAACACACAAGGAAAACCAACAGTGAAAACTGGCTCCCACTCCACCCATCCTTCCACTAACAGTGCGCTTTTGAATATTAAGACACAGAGGTCATATAACATGAAGAATGAAAGAATATCCTTAAAAGGTCACAGACAACTTGGTATTCTTTTTACCGTGCTAAAGTCAACCTAAATAAATATGCATACATAGAGAGAGAATACAGGGAAATAATAGACACCAACTTCAGGATGATGGCCAAATTAAACGGAGGCAGAGCAAGGGAGAGACTGTAAAGACAACAACAGTTCATTGACACCTGGGCTTTCATTTTGGCACCAGATGTTCAGTTACTAAATGACTTCTTAAACAGATAGTTAAAAGGAGAGGGAACAAAGTAGGGAGAGCATTTAAGAGGGAGAGGAAAGAAAAGAGGGGAGAGGAAAGGCATAAGGATATTTAAAAAAAAAAAACTCAAAGATAAAAGTAAACCTAGCACAGACTAAACACTGAAAGTGTGTTTGGACCAAGGATGAGCGGCCCTAGATACAATGGCACAAGGTCACACCACAGGCACTGTTTGTAGTTTGATTATCTATTAATCAAACTCAAAATTCACCCACCCCCAATAAATGTGAGGCCTTTGGCACTCGGGGGGGTCAAATAACAGCCAGAGTGGACGAGGGAGCTACAGAAATGAAAACATGGCTGATCCACTGATTGGCTCTCTGTAACAGAGATGACAATTCCCACAGCGACGGTCACTCATTTGTTCGATATTTATCAGTTTCAATACTTATCAATTATATCTCAAATCTCATGAAAAGCAAAGGGACCCTTTGGACTTACAGTTCATCCTTGAAGACAGTCTAGTGTCTTCTTTAGAAAGCTCCAGAATTAACAGTGTTGTCAAGAGAACTTACCCCACTTTTAGCCGCTACTTAAATAGCCAACCCAAAGCAGTTTGTGTGCAAAGTGAGGTTATGCTGGCTCTCCAAATTCAAGGACACCAAATCTCTATGACAACCACTGGGAAAACACACAGGAGATTTCCTGAGTACAGCGCTGTCTGTCTTACCTGCTATCTCTGTAAGGGTATTAACATGATCTCCATCTGCTAACTTCACAAAGCCAACCTGACTTCGGAAAGTGTCCACACCCTGGAAGGGCAAAGTCAGGTGCCTCCCTTGAAGGATTTCCTCGATGAATGGCTTCAGTTCCAAAAGCGCATCAGTACCACTAGTGAGACACAATATTTTTCAACAACATGGTAAGTAATAGACAAAACCAAATAAGAAACGAATCCAGTTTTTAAAAGATAAATTTTATATATATACTAATTATTTCAAAGTTCAAAATATCTTTCAGATTTAACCTGTGGTTAAAACCAATATTAATTTTTAAATAACTATAGAAGAGGTGAATTAAGTCTTTTCCTAATTATAATTACTATTAAAGCAGATACTTGTGGTGGTTTGAATACGAATGGCCCCCCACAGACTCATGTGTGTGAATGCTTGGTCCACAGGGAGTGGCACTATTAGGAGGTGTGGCCTTGTTGGAGTAAAAATGTGGCTTTGCTGGAGTAAATGTGTCACTGTGAAAGCGGGCTGTGAGGTCTCATATGCCCAAGCCATGCCTAGTGTCTCAGACCACTTCCTGTTTCCTGCTGATCAAGATGTAACTCTCAGCTCCTTTTCCAGCACCATTTCTGCCTGCATGCCACATGTTTCCTGCCATGATGATAATGGACTAAACCTCTAAAATTGTAAGCCAGTCCCAATTAAATATTTTCCTTTATAAGTGTTACTGTGAGGCCATGCCTTTTAATCCCAGCACTCTAGAGGCAGAGGCAAGCAGATCTCTGTGAGTTCAAGGCCAGCCTGGTCTTCAAGAGCTAGTTCCAGGACAGGCTCCAAAGCTACAGAAAAATCCTGTCAAAAAAAAAAAAAAAAAAAAAAAGTGTTGCCGTGGTCACGATCATTAATCATCAAGAAACTTCTGTAAACAACGCACTCTGGAGACCCACTGGAGGACAGCAAATGTGAAGCCAACCTGGACTACATAAGACCTAGAGTACTATAAGACCTCGCCTCAAAAAATAAAAATTAAAACAAATAAACAAAAAGAAATTGCTGACCGAAAAAAATTTACCTGTGTAACTCAAAGTGCTGGGGCTATTCACTTGCCTGCTATGTATGAGGTCCTAGATTCGATCTCCAGGACCTCAGGAAAAAAGAGGGCTACAACTCAAAAAAAACTCCAATTTTTACTAATTTTTTTTAAATAATGATACATTCCAGAACAATTTACCACACACAAGAGCTTTGTTAGGTTGTGCGGAGTGTTCAAAACTGGGTTTGTTTTGGTTTGTTTCTGGGGGTAGCATTTTGAGGCAGGCTCTTATGTGGAGAAAGATGACTCTGAACTTCTGGTCACCCTGCCACCACCTCCCAGGTGTTAGGATGACAGAGTAGGTAAGCATTCTACTAGCTAAACCATGCCCCCAGCCCAAAGTCTAGGATTTTTAAAAATAAAAGTACTAATTCTTACTCAAATAGGACTTACTGTTTCCAATAGAGTCTACAAAAACTTAATCAGGCATTATCTCTTAAAATACAGTCTTTATTAACACGATTTATTGTACTTAGACTCAAAGTATAAGTTTAATTGTACTTGCCAACTAACACTAAATGCTTGTTATAACTGTTTAGCCTATGTTCACTTATGACCACTTTGTGTTTCAAATCTTTATTTCTCTTTATGAGTTAGACATTATCAAGTTGTCCCTGGTTTTAAATTTATGCTCAATTACATCTTGAAAAGCATTCTAGTGGATATACCTTACTATGAAAAAACTTAAACTCACTAGAGGGCAGCAGTTACTTAAGAAAGAAATGAGCATGGACAGTACGGAGAGGATTTTCAAACTTCCTTCTAACAAAACTATCATTGAATTATCCTGTTCCCCCATCAAATAGGTGAAAAAATAGATTTTTGTAGCGCTTTCATATTTCTCAATTAGTCTCCACACGGCTCTGAGCCGATTCCATGCACGTATTTCACGGTCATGTTCTGACGACAACACAGAACTGCAGAAGCATTCTGGAGATGCCAGTATTTCTCCCTGGACCTCCGCACCCACATCCTAAGTCCAATGCCCCTAACTGTATTCAGGACCATAGCCAATTCTGAAAATAAACCTCTACATACACAGATACAACTACATGGACAGAGAAGACACACCCCACCTGTTGTGCTTTTAGAGGACTCTGATTCATCACACAAGCTGTGACTCCTCTTCCTCATCTATCCCTCCCCACTTCCCCCACCTTGGTTTGTCTTCTCTGAAAACCATGAAAGCATTTGTTTTATATGATTGGTAGAGTGGTAAACTGAAATTAAAAAAAAAAAAATCTCTCTTTCCCTCTGTCCTTGAAGGCTGTTGGCTTTCTGTGGGAGGGACAAGAGTCATCGTCTGTGGCCAGTTGCGAATGGCTGCTATGTTTGTTTTCCCTCTCTTGGTCTATCTTTTTCTCACTCTCTTCCCAACCCAAGCCTTGCTTTTCATTCCTCCAGGAGCCATCTGGGCCAAGGCAGAAACACAAATAATCTGCAGTTCCTCCCCGCTTTTGTTTACAAAGAGCCCAAGCTTGAATTTAAGGCCCCCAAACTCCATAGGAGACAGCAAGGAATTCTGCATTCTTGTCATCAATAACTTCTAGTCAACCTTTAGGGAGTGGGGAAAATTGGGGATGGGAGGTGTGGAATGGAATACCATGGCACTAGGAATGACCAAGGCAAGCTGAAGTGGAAATTGTCCACCTCGCCCCAGGAAAATGACAGCTCTGAGGAAAGACAGCCAAGAGTAAGTGCCTACTACATGCTGGGCAACATGCTAAGGGCTCTTGCTTAGCGTTAGCACTATTATTGGGACAGCAAGTTTAAGTCAGACTGCTAATAAAAGGTGGTTATGCCATAGTTCCAGAATCGTCACCTAGAGTCTCATCAATCTAGACTCTAGAATCAGACTCCAGAGGAGTTTGCATAATTAACATAGGCAACACATCTGTGTAACCAAGGAATATCACTGATAACAATGAAGTGAAAAAAATCTGAATTAAGAATATTTATACAAAAACAATAAAAAATTTAAAATTAAAAAAAGAGAATATTTATACAAGCAGGGCAGTGTAGTGCATACCTTAGCCCTAGCACTGGGGCGGGGACCAGAGGCAGGAACATCTCTTAAGAGTTTGAGGCCAGCCTGGTCTATAAGGTAAGCTCCAGGGCAGTCAAGGCTACATTTGTCTCAAAAAAAAAAAAAAATGTAAACAGACTATAGTGGAATGTGTCTGAAACTTCAGCACTGAGATAGTTGAGGCCAGAGAATCACAAGTCCTAGACGACACTTGATACATCAAGTTTGAGGCTAGCCTATGTTACATAAATTAAAAAAAAAAACCTCTGTACAATGACTATCAATCAGGATAATCAGGATAAAGAATATTTCTTTAGAATCTCAAAGCCGCCTTGGGCTCGACTATATTTACTCACAGTAGAGTAATAATTTGGAAAATAATATTCAAGAAAGACACATTACTCACATGTTTACTTCATCTTCATTTAATAACTGCATCACCAGCAAGGTGATATGAAAGGAACCATCACCAACCATGGCTTTGGCCAGTCGTTTATCCTGTTGTAGTATCGTATTTTGCAAGACCTTAATTCCTGCTGTAATCTAATTACAAAGAAAAAAAGATGTAAGTAAGCAAAATTTTTATAAGGCAAATTTTAAATTAATAAGAAAAAATAGTTGGACAGTGGTGGCAAATGCCTTTAATCCCAGCACTCGGGAGGCAGAGGTGAGTAGATCTCTGTGAGTTCAAGGCCAGCCTGGTCTACAGAGCGAGTTCCAGGACAGCTAGGGCTGTTGCACAGAGAAACCCTGTCTTGAAAAACAAAAACAAACAAAAAGAACGAAGCATAAGCAAGCAATTAACAAAATTAAAATGACATCAAAATTCTGCAACCAAACACATAACCTCTGCTTGTTCTCACACTTGCTACAGAGTTGACTGGCATGGCCTGAAACACTACATACATTTAGACAATCACGAGATGTGTGTCCATCTGACGGGCCCTGAGCGCAACACTCTTATTTTGCAGACTGAGTGGGAAAAATCCCCATGGCAGCACCTCCTTTTAGAAATGTGCCCTTGTACTAAGCGTCTGACTCACTAATCATGACCATTCCTAAGAAAAAAAGCTTTATTCTTCCAGAGAAAGGCCAAATCAGCAGACAACATTCCATTTCTGTTAGAAGTAATATTTATTTGTCCCACAGTGAATGGCTGGACCTATTCCTCACAGCTTTTAAGATTCTCTAGGATAGGAGGAATTCCAATAAGAACGACTGCTGGCATTTTTTTCCTAACTTGTGAGGGGGCATAACCATGGAGACAAAACTGAAGGAAACCCAAACTATGACAGTATGCATCCAGGAGAAAGTCCGCAGGCCAGGCTGCTCATCTGTCTTCCCTCTCAGTACCGGTTCCTCTGGAACAGGAAGAGGCAGGATGTATCTCCGTCCTCCATTTCCTGTTAGAGCCACAGATGCTAGCCCAGCTGTAAATGTCAGTGCACTGGAGAGCAATCTAAAGTATAATAGCAAGCCCAGAGAGAGGCCTGAGAGAATTCGTAAAAAGCCTTGGGACAGCAGAATTATTAAGAGAAAAGGAAACGCTGGGCAGGCAATAGAGACAGCATCCAATAAAACAGAACAGAAAGGGAGGGGTGAGGAGAGCTCAGGGCCCGAGCATAGCAGGCTGCTCTGATTCTGGAGCCGCTGTGTTATCCTCAACAATGGCCCCATTATTTGTGGAATGTACTGAGCAAATCATAAGACACTGTCCTGGGACCTAGACTTTCCCTTGAACCAGGCTCCAAGTCCACTGCTTAATTGGGCCCCACTGGTTCTCCTTTGTTCTTGTAGAACCCATTCTGAGTAAGAATCTTGTGAAGTCACTTCAAGAGAAAATCTCCCATCCTTGGTATCCTGACCACCTTCCCTGTGGCCTGCCTTTGTGATTCTGTCAAGCCATGCTTCTTCTTAGCAATGTTCTATCCACTGACTTTATCCCTGTTCCGTGTTACAAATTCCCACTGTACTTTCTGTGGTCAGAACAACGTCCATCTCTCTCCGTGAGGCCATTTCCTAGCTCCTAGCTCCTATACCCATCTCCATAGACCATGGTAAACTGAAACTTGAAAATTGTCCAAGGAGATTAAAAATAGCCTCAACTCTGCTTAAACTGAAAAAGAAAAAAAAAATCAGCAAAAATTGACTCACGTCATTTCTAGTCATTTCTGGTCTTGTTAGAAACACAAGTTAAGCTCAGCCAATCACAAGCGCCCAACGAACATACGACGATGATGTGACTAGGGGTGTTCTAACAAGGTGACCCATAAAAGGCAACTCCGTACATGCAATCAACTTCTTTATTTTACCCCCACGGTTTTCCTATAAATACCTGCCTCTGACTAAACCTCTTTTAAGTCTGGTGTCCCCGATTAACAAACTGTTCCTTATTCAAACTTTTAAAAAATGATATTGGGCCCAAGATTTTCCTCTAAGAGTTTAGTGGCAGAAGCAGACCTCAAAGGAGGACCCCAGGGACCTCCAGGGACATCGAGGCACCAAACTAAGGAAGGCACCAGGTCCATTATAGCTCCAGCAGGTAGAATATGCCTGAGTAAGATACCGACTGCTCTTCCAAAGGTGCTTCCAGGCTGACAACAGCCGAAAGGCCTACGTGGGCTATTCCCATTGTCATTATTCAGTCATGTAAGCAGGAAAACAGATGACTCACTCCCATCGCAGTGCTAGATTACAACTCTTCTCGTTAAACATTTTCATTAAAAACACAGCTTGAGTGTTTCTCTTTTTAATTCTATAAACCTTGCTATTACAAAAAGGAAAATCTTACAAATAAATAAAAACTTCACACACCAAAGTTAACCAGACTCAAAGCAGTAGCATTGCTTACTGGCACTGAAATGACTTCTATGGATGTTCGTCAGAGGGCTTGGTGACCTGCAGAGAAACCTAAGACTGAACCGCAGCCAAACAGTCTAAGAGAATCAGAACAAGATGAGGACCAGTGCCGTCCATGAGTGAAGGCACCGGTCACCAGCCCTGAGGATCTGAGTTCAGTCCCCATGACCCACAAGCTGCAAAAAGAGAATGACTCCTACAAGCTTCCTCTGGTCACACAAGCTAAATAAAATATAACAAAAATAAATAAGAAAAAGAATGCAGAGCCTCATGTCCTTGTGACTGAAAAATGCTATAGGGACAAAGACCAAGAGGTTTTCGCCTCAAGTCTTACCTCAAGAGGTCTTAAACCAAGAAACCCTGATCCTATAGATTTCTGTCACTATTATACAGTCACATTAAAAGAAAAAACACTGCCCATTACGCTACCAGTCTCCCTGAGAAACTATGCCTTTTGGTATGGACACATCGCCATCAGGTGAACCCTCGGGGTCTCGACTGTTGAAAGAAAGGTCAATGCTGATGGGGCTACTACAGTACTCCAGTGACACACACTTTCATAAGCACGGGCAAACCAAAATCAGTGGTGTATCCACTACTGGACGACAACAAAATCAGTGGAGAAATCGTGGAGCCACTACTGGAAGACAACAAAATCAGTGGAGAAATCGTGTACCCACTACTGGAAGACAACAAAATCAGTGGAGAAATCGTGTACCCACTACTGGAAGACAACAAAGCCACCCGCCCTCCTTTACACTCTGCTATAGTAAATCAACAAACCCCTCCATATAAAAAAAAGTGGGAGAGGATGGGGTTCAAATCAAATCCAGAGAATCTCTGTGTGACCAGTTCCCAGGTCTTCTGCACACCACCACCACACCCCCCCCACACACACACACACACAAGCACACTGTGTGACAGTGGGATGGAAAGAGCTTTCTAACCTGAGGGGATGCATAACATTCTCTTTGGAGGAAGAAAACGTTCCAGAGTTCCCTGACCCTCTGAAGTCTGAGGGCTACTCTGTTCTTCAAAAACAGAAGCTGATAAAATAGAAACCCAGACCTCTCTAAAACCCCAGCCACTTATGGGTTTCCTCTTCAACCAGCATAGGAAAAAGTTGAGGTATAAAATATTCAAGTAAACTGGCATTGCTTCAATTGCCCCACTCCCTAAAACTGTAGACAGTCCAAAGACTATCACTGATTGCATGGGGGTGGGGTGGGTGTCAAAACAAGGTTATGTAATAGCTCCTACCAACTGATGCCTGAGGTACTCCAATACTACTAAGTAAAAACCTAAGAGGAAGCAGGTTTCTGTCTACTTATCTGCAATAAATGAAATTATATTTCTAGGATTCTGGTGGTTCTGGACCCTAACACTGTTATCTGATGTGTCTCTGCAGGTTTGAACCAGTTCACAGCAGTGGACCTCTGCGTTTCCTTCTGTGGTATTCCGGTAGATGAAAGCCAGTATTTTTTGCCGTTAATGATCATCTCTACACACAGACTGTATACCCTATGGGTTCACTAAAGGCCCATCTTATCTGTCTCAAGCATTACACTGTCAGTCTTGCAATTCATGGGAAAATTCACTTACTTAACATGCATAGAATCTGATACTATGTTCCCTACCAAAATAGAATCTGAAATAACTCATTTCTTCTCTTACAGCATGTACTCTGACAGCATCAAAAGGCGCCATAGAGAAACTTCAGATCTATCAAGAAATGGTCCATTGCTTAGGTCCCAATCTTGGCTGTAGGAATTTCCCCCTCACATGGAAGAGTAAAGACAGTCCAAGGGTCCCCTTGACTGACAGCTTAGAGGTTACAGAGAGGTTTCTGTGGACTTGGAGAGTACTCCAGGTCTCGGTCCAAATTTCTTCCTGATAGTTTTCCCTTTATATCAACTTATAAAAATTCTGCCAGAACCCTCTTGATGAGAAGATAACTAGGAGCAGGTTTTAGGTCAAATAAAGTTGGCCTCATGCTCATCTTCAGCATTTTAGTGCAACGTCTTGCATGGTGAGATGGTTTTAGACCCTGTGTGTCTTTGAATTGTCTAGTAATTGTAAAACTTAGAAATCAAAAACTGTAAAATGCTTTGAAGACTATTATTTCCATGAAGCCACATGATACTTGTAATATAGGATTAACCTCAAATCTATGAAAATGTAAAAGTTAATCTAATCAAGTCACATATTTCTAACCATGCTTTGATTTTTCTAATTAATTTATAGATTCACTTATATCATCTTAAGACTTTTTAAATGCTTTTTATTCCTAATTACAATCTTTAAAGGACAAGAAAAACACTCCAGAATCTTAACTGCATGTTATTAAAAGAAACTAATTTTTATAGTCACTGTTTAAAATTCTCCAACACCATTAAACCTTATCCATCATCCTAATCCCCTGCCACTGGTGTAACTGCACAAAGTACATCTCTAAACCAATCCTAACAGTGTAACTTAGATGTGACACTAAAAGAAACATCTACAAATAAAAACTTGGCTGACATCTTAGATATTCTACTCGCTGAGTTAACTGGAAAGCACATCCTCGTCTGGTAAATATCACCACTACGTCATAGTCCAAAACCCTACACTGACGCAATTAGAAAAGCCATCTTTACATCTTTGAAACCTTCTAATTAACTCAACATATATGTAAGTTTTAA